CAGGCAGCCTCTGCGGCCACTCAGGCTGCGCGGGCGGGAGCCGGGTGCGGGGTGGGCGCCCGCGCCGGTGGGGGCCTTGCAGTCACACCCCTCCATTTAGCCCCGGGGGCGCAGCAACCCGGGAACAGGTGGCCACAGGAACAGAGTCGGGGGGCTCTAGGAACGTGCGACCTTTTCGCTTCTCTGGACCTTGGTCTCCACTCACACCCACACACCCCGCGGTTCCTCACGCGTCCCTAAGGAACTCCAGGAAGAAACCTAATTGTCGCAGAATTTATTATTTACTCCTAAGATTCCCATCTTCCTATTGAAAGCTGAGGGTAAGGAGGAAAGGGGGTTTTGAGTTGTGGACCCAGCTCCTCAAGTTGTAGCTCTTGGGTATTTATATACTTCAGGAAAGTTTTGCTAGCTGGTTTCGAATTTTTCCCGTGTCACAAATCCTTAAGATTAACGTATTAGGCCTTAGAATAGCCTGAAATCTTCATTAACAGAAGGCTTAGTTAGGAGCCAACTAGTAAATTATCTCCATAGAGAGGAATGGGAAGGTGGAGGGGAGAAGTGGGTGGTGGTGGAAAGCTGGGGATTGCTGAAATTGGAACCGTGACTAGTAGGTGGGGTGGGTGGCATCATTATTAATTAGATCTGAAGAGTACGCACCCAGTGGGCCATCAGAGCACCCAGGGTGAGTATGGGTGGGTGCATTAAAGCACCAATGTGGGTAAAGGATCTTTGTGTTGCAGACCATTGTCAAGGTGTAGCCATCTTCTTCCTGTCTCCCAAGATGACTCATTTCCTCCATTAAAATATCTTTTCACTGACTGTTTGAAAGATGGTCCATGCCACCCTTTAACTGTGTGCAAGGCTTGACTCTGTGGGAGGATGTGTGAAAGAAAGGGAGGCTCCGCTCGGAACTCACATCTGGGGTCTGGCCAGAAGAAGCTGTACTGCAACTGTTTCCAAAACATGTCTCTGAATGTCCATTTCAAGTTCATCTTTGCAGACCTTTTCTTGGTTCCATTTCTTCTCATGCAAACATCTGTTTCTCAAGCCTTCCCTATAGCTGCGGTTTTGCTTTACCCAAGGGAGGGAAATCAAGAAATAATTGAGTTTTGTAAAGTAAAGGAAGTTTTTTTGAGCACTTGTGAAGCCATGTGTCAAATGGTAGTCTTGAATGAGGCAGGTGTTCCGGTTCCAGGGAAATTGGTTTCTGCCCTCACAATATGCCACGTCACTTACCAGGCCCAGCTTCCATGTCTTTCTTCATGGTATAGGAAAAGCATTGTCTCTTCCCTAATCAACAGTGCCTGAAAAGTGCCAGCATCCATGGCTTACTTTGTGAACAGGCACAGCTGACATGAAGCCACTAGGACTGAAGAGGCCACTTTCTGCAGGACCTATCAAGGTCATCCTTTACAGAAAAGAATCTGGCAGAGCTCAGCTCACATATTCCCTCCAGGGGAGGAATGTATCCTAAATTCACATTAGTGTCATCGAGCAAGGATGGCAGCTTGCTTGCATGAAGAGAGTAAATAAGAAAGACTGCATTGCACTAAATATTCTAGACATCCTGAAAAACGTAGTAACTGGAGATATGGCAGATTTTCAGGTAGACTTACGCACTGACAATCAGTACTTTTTGGTGTGTTCCAGATATAAGAAGGAGGTGAGATGTTCATAATTACTTCTGCAAAGGGAATGGTGGCCTAGTAGGGGAGGGCTACATGATGCTCGCAAGCCAGGCTGATGGTTTGGAAGAAAGGAAAGATAAATGACAAGGAACAACAAATACATCCTTGCCATGGGAAAGCTGGCCTATGATTCCCTGCTATGAAGTTCTGAGGTGGGGTATATAAAGGGTTCAGGGCCCTTTGCTCTTTGTTTACTCGGGGATGCATTCCTGCAAGTGCTAACAAATTAAGATGATTGCTGCATGTCTGGTGTCTCCACATAGAATCTCTTCTGCTCCCACGTTGGGAGAGTGTGCTGGGTTCTGAGACACAACATCGAATAAGACAGATATAATCCCTGCTGTCAAGGAACTTACATTCTACTGGAGAGTGCGTGTAACCCGTACAGATGGGCAATTAAGCAAATAAAAATGCATAAACAACATCCGATAGAGATAAATGAAAAGCAAATAAACAATTAAAATACCCCCCAAAGACATAAACAAGAATATATCAGATAGTGATTAATCAAATGATGGAAAGGAAACACACTTAATTTTAGTTTGAAAGCAAGGAGGCAGAGAGTTCAGATTTGTTTGCTGGAAGTGGCAGAGGAAGTGGGAATGGGGATAAACATTGGGACATAACTAGAACTTTCCAAAGGTCCAGACATCCTTGAGGAAGAGGCTGTTGGTGGGAATGTTTCTCTGGGTGATTACTAAAGAGGGCTCACTGCTGACATATGAGCTTTGTCTCAGCAAAGGGCCAGACCTGCTCTCTCCCTATTAATCAAGCGCCTGTTGGTAGGCACCATTTGCTCTATCCACACAAAGAAGGCTCGAGGGCTCTAGACCCTGAACAGCACTTCCCAAACCTCACACTTGGCTGGAGCCTATGCTTATTCCCTCCCTCATCCACTCCCCACAGATATTTATGCCATGTATAATTTAACTGGGGCCAGTTTAACTATAGAAAATTTTAGCAATAAAGTGCAAAATATTTCTTATGTTGCAGTTCCTTGCCCCAGGAGAGGAGCCTAATGGGATCAGCCATAGGCACTAGTGCGAATAATAATGACATGGTGACAAGTCTGGCCATGATACAAGGTAAGAATATAATGAGTGTTTGTTATGAGTCAAGCACTGTGATAAACATTTTATAAAGTATATTACATATCTATATATGTCATATTTAATTCTTAATCTGTAATATATGTGTTAGTTTCATTATATAAATGAAATAACTCAGACTCAGAGCATCTAATTTCAAGGTAATACTAATAGTGTCAGTCCACCTGCAAAACCCTACGCATCTTCATCCCTTCAGACAGCATCCTCATAATGCCTTTTAAGTTTACAAAGCCCTGCAACAGTATTTTCTTTGTACCTTTTAGTGTTTACTAAGGGTCCTTTCATTCTTCCTTTCCCTTTTCCTTCCTTCCTTTTTCCCCCCCCAGCAGATGTCATTTTGTATTTGGGTTGTGTGTGTTACTTAAAACACAAGCATAACAAAACGTATATAAGAACAAGTTTATCTCAGTAGATTTTCTAATCGTTCAGGGTCCTTTTCTGTTTGAAAGGCTCTGCTTGGTTCAGAGGTTGAACAGACAACACAACTTTTCTATTTATTGAATTTTTGAGTGTTGACTTTTTCTCATTTAGCACAAAAAACCCGAGTATCCTCCTAATTATTCTATTTCCCTCACTAATTGACAACCTACTGGGCCACTTGTATATTCTGGGCAATTTGTAAATATTTTGTTTACCCAGAGAAAACCTAAATATGTAAGACCTTCTATATGTGTATATATTGCCCTGATAAATACAACCCTTGTTTATGTTACAAGACAGTGAAAAGCTAGGAAAATTCCAGGCTGGAGGAACCGGGAAACTGAGAAAAAGTTAAAAAAAAAAAGGCCAAACAGTGTGGGCTGTTTGCAGCTGGCTTGTAAATAACAAGCCATTATCTTCCCCAGCCAAGGACACTTGAGAGAAAATGGTTAAAAGCCTCCCTAATGAGAGAATGTAGGAAAGGAGGGGGGAAGGGGAAAGGAAAAAAGGGCAGTTTTATTTTCTTTGCTCCCTAACAGAGAAGCCAGCAGTCTCAGGGCTTGACAAGATAAAACTGCCAGGTGCTTCTCATGAATTCTGGGAAGGCCACAACAAATAAAAAGGGACCTTGAGATTTAATCTGCACCAAGATATTCTAAAGAGGAATTTGAAACCTCTAAACTGGAGGGTATATAATGCCTCAAACCCCCACCCAACTCACTCTTCAGATAACCTGAGAGCCCATTTGTGCTTCATAAGCCAGATAGATGTATGGATTTGCTTGCCTTGCTTCTTTAATAAATGTGCATGCTTTAATTTTTTAATAAATTGGCTTTATCACAACACAGTCATCTGGAGTCACTCATTTAAATTCATTTATACAAGCAGGATAAGAACCGAGGTGGGGACAGCCCTCTCCTTCTGACTCAGGGGCTGCTGGATAACACCTTTTCTGGAGTCTCTGCGCTG